GTTTCTCTTCTGGAGAGGGGTCAAGCAGAACCCTGCCCTTGACACCCACTTGGCTCCCTCAGCTCCACGCCACAGTGCCCGGTGGCCACAGGCCACTCCTGTCCACACACGCGACCCCAGAGTGATGTGATGGCCCCTCTCAGGTTGGGCTCTGGCACCCTCTTTCCTCCAGGTCTCACTCCACTGCCTCTCATTCTCCCATCTCCCCACCCCCAACTGGAAGAGGAGCCTCTCCCAGTCTCCCAGTTGTGCAGAGAAGGGAACTGCACCAGAGAGCACAAGGTGTGAACTTGGAATCAGGGCTGCAAATGGATTGATGATGACAGGCAGAGGCCTGGCTTCAGTCACTGCTGCCTGGCAGCCAGGCACTGATTGGATTTGTGTGCTACACACATTTTGGGAGCACACTGCCTTCCTTTGCTGAAGGGATTCAAACCCATCCTGAGCAGAGTTCAGTTGCAACAGTGAACCACAAAGCAGGAAGGGCCAAAGGTCCACAGTGCCCTGTATAACCTCAGTGAAATGTGTCCTTTCACCACACAGAGAGTGCTGAGAAGGCTTTTAAGGAAAAAAAAACTACAGATAAATACCCTGCCTCTGGATTACAGAGCTTAAAATATGATGGCATCTCCCCCAGATTGTGAATGGGTTCCCTGAAGAGCTCCTTCAGTTCTGAGACCCTCCCTTCCCCATTCCCCTCCTGGGAGAATTGGAGAGGCAAAGGGCTGCTGTTCCAGCAGATTTGCAGGAGTGGGAGTTGAAGAATCAATGAAGCTCTGAAAGCCAGTGGGGAAAGTCATTCTGCACCTTCCTGACACCAGGAATAAATGATTCAGCTGGAAAAGGAAAAAAAAATCCAACAACCCTCAAATGAGGCTGGAATTACCCTCTGGAGAGATATTTCATCTTGAGGAATTGTGTTTGCTGCAGTGTTCATCTTACTGAGCCACAGCAAGGCTTTAATATCCAGCAAAAGGTCAAATCTAAATAGGAATTGCCAGAGCCTGCTGGAGCTCCTGCCTGCACATGAGCTCCCAACCCTCACATGGAGCAGCTACAGCCAAACCAAAGCCTGAAACAGAATGGAGCTGAGCTGGACCACGTAAGGATATCTCCCTTCCCTATGGGATCCCATACACAGCTCATCCCTGCACTCACTCCCTTTGGATGGGTACAAAAGGAACAGACCTTCCTGCCTGGGTGTCTTGAGCAGTGTTTGGAGAGAATGCCGAGAGCTTCCAGATGTTTCCACCCAAGGGATCTAACTGAATGTCAAGGAAGATGGGATTTCAAGGCACCCGAGGGCTGCAGGGGTGGCTGTCAGCTGCTTCTCAGCTGGAACATCAATGCTTGAAGCATTGCCAGTGCCCTCCGAGTCCAGCAGTCTGCAGGGCTGTGGGAGCTCTCTCCTCATGCCATCATGCCCATGGACAGACAGTTCTTCCCACTTTTCCCACTTCTGCTTTGGTACTGCTGCTGTCCCCCTCCACCCACACATCTGCTTAGACTCTCCTTGGTAATTTGTACTCTTCTTCCTTCCCTCAGACTGAGCTCTGCCCTCTGCTAGTCTGGTACTGCTATCCCGGGCTGCAGCAGAGTTCCAGGGATAAATTAGGCAGACAGGAGGTTCTCAGGGAGCTGCCTGTCTCCTCTACGCTGTGGCAAAGGTGTGTGTCCAAGAAAGAAAGGCAGGCACTGAGTCCTTCCTGTAACATCCACTGTCCTCCCCAGGAGGGCACAATGCTCATCAGTGAGCTGAGCTGAACAGAGGGAGTTTTATCTAAAGAGCTGAAAATCTGTTGAGCTTTGAGCTTGATAGCAAAACTGGTTCCATGCCACAGGCTAAATCTAGACCCTGCAAGGAAACAGATTTGGGAACTATCAAGAATCCTGACAGCCCTGAGCCTTCTACCAGCCATCTCAGTCACCCCACACAACATGGAGCCCTCCTGCTTTCCTGTTCAGGACCTTATCGGCCTCTACTAATTCATCTTCATGCTGCCCAGCAATTCCAGCTGTCCTTTCAGCCCTTCTTGATGAGCAAGGTGCCATCCATGTTGGGCAGCACACTGGTTTCTGTGCCAATGTGGAGGAACATCCACTGGGGATGAAACTACCACTCTGACTTCCACATGTGATTCAAGCCAGATTTCACTATGTACAGAGAGATTAAATTTCTCTAAGGTTAACACAAGATAATTTTTGTTCAAATATTTACAGTTAGAGCTCACCAGAAAATCAACAGAATTCTGCTGGACAACACTCAACTATCCACATCCCCCAAAGGCAAACAGGGTTTTTATGTGGTATTTAAAGGATCCTGAGGACATCCAGAATGAAGCCCTCACAATTGCTCCTGGGCCAGGCTGGGTCTGTGCCATACAGCCATGCCTCTGAGGAAAGCAGGAGAAACTTGCTGGCCTTTTCCTCCTAATAATGTGCCCACATGGACACAGCCAGAGCAGGTCACCAGCCCCTCACATGGTCACACAAACAGAGGAGGTGGAGACCATTCAGAACTGCATCCAGCAGCTACATACTTGGGAAGCCCATGCTGTGGAGAATGGGGTCAGATTGCTTCTCCCTATGTTTGGCCTTGTGGAGCTGTTTGTGTCTCCTGGATGCAAGACTTCCCTGGCAACAAACTGGAGCTGTCATTTGGGGATCTTGTTCTTTCTCTCCAGGATGTTTAAATTCAAGCCTCAAACTTGTGGTTGGCAGGGAATGGGGGCAAACAAAGAGCCAAACAATCTGCTGTCAGCTCCTGAGTGCCCAGCCTGTGACAGTTATCCCTCTTGTCCTCGGGGAATGGTGGAGTACAGAGGCAATGGCTCAAGGGCCTGTCACAGATTTAAGCTGCCCAGACTTACAAGACAGAATTTTAAAAAACCAACAGACAATAAGTGTACTGAAATATTTAGGCTTTGCTCCCTCCTCTACAGGGTCTGTTGTTTCATGAGAAGAAGGAAGACTGAGCTCACCCACAGCTGCACTAAACATCTGGGGCTTGAGGAACATTCCCTGACTGCTTCTGAACCTTTGTTTGCTACTCTCCCAAGTCCTGACCCTCTTTTTGACACATCAGCCTCTACTGGAGGCTCCCCTCCTGAGACTGCTCTCTGCTGTGTGTGCACCTGAGGTTTAATGGTTTTCTATTAGGGAAGTTTTCTGGGAGGAAAATTTGACAAAGCTGCTGTGTCAGGTGCAGAAGCTCAGGTGGAAATTGCCCTCTCCCTCCTCTGCTCCTTTCCAAGGGTTAAGAGGGAAGGTGAGAACAGGCTGGATCCCTGCATGAAGAGCTCTGAAGGGAGCACAGATATTACTCCCACCGAGCTGATTTAACAGCCTGCCTTCCCTAGGTGGACAATCAGCTTTCCAAGGGAGTCAGCGACTTTCTGAGACAGTGCTTTTCTGGGATGAAGTTCCTGCCTTTGAAGGTGTCTGATCTCTCCCAGTGCCCTGGGGCTTTCTGCTTACTCTGCTCTCCCATGCAACCACGTCCTGCAAAGGCATCCCATGCCAGCTTCTCTCTCTGCTGGATGCAGAAACATTTCCCTGCAGCCACAGTGTTTGTGTATGGTCCCCTCAATCCACCAGGCTCACAGGGAATGCAGGAGTGCACACAACTCCTTCCTCTTGGTTGTCCCCTCTAGCCCAACCCTACAGATGGCAGGTCAGGCCTCCCTGTGCTGCTGAATAAGGGAACACAGAGGCAAGGGGAATGCAGACAATATCCTAAACAAATCTGCTGTTTACAAAGTCCTCTGTAAACTGTTTACTTTGCTGGGGAGAAAGCATGGAGGAACAGCAGCTGCAGAGTGCACTTCCCAGTGGGAAGAAGTCCACTCCTGTTTGCTCCACTGCTGTGGGAGGGAGTGGAGCTGATGCACATCTGGAAAGGGTGCAAAGCATGAGAGAAAAGAAGAAGCACCAAAACCCCAGCACCACCCACTCCCCCAGGAGTCAGGAGCTCTGGCTACCTCAGCACTGCCTCCCAGAGCACACTCTGAGGACAGTGGTCTGTCCCTGGGGTGCAAGGTGACAGGGAACAGCCATCCTCAGGCTCTGAGCAGTTCTTGTGATGGTCAGGCTGAGCTGTTCCCTGCTGCCAGAGGAAGCATCCCAGCCAACCCTGAAGCTCACTTGGAGCCACATGGCTCTTGGGCTGTGTGAGGAGCTTTGTGACTCTCATCCCTCAGAAATGTGGTGTGTGGTGCCTCTAGCTCATGGCTAAACATGGGGCCTCAGGAATACCAGCAAGAACACTGCAAAGTGCTGGCATAAAATAAAAGAGTGTGCTTCTAATCTCCCTGTTTCCTGTCCATGGAAAGTTCTTTGAAGTGCCTGTGCTCAGGGCAGTGCTGGAACACCCGTGACCCAGCTGACCAGCACAATGCTGGCCTGAGACACAGCGTGACTGCCCAAGCCCTGGGGGCTGCCACGGGCAAGAAAGGCTCTGAGGGGAGACATGGAAGAGTTAACCTCAAACACCCTGATCAGTCCCCTTCACACTGGAAGGTTGGTTTTGTTACTTGAGCAGGAAGTGAGAAAACACAGCCTCCACTCAAGGAAGGTGAGAAGTGCTGTGAGCCCAGAAATAGTCCCAGAGGGGTAGGGGAATGGGCAGCCAGCTGGAGCAGCAAGGACAGAGAAAACATCCTCCCTACACACAATATGGAAACCCCTGACCCTGCTGGTTGGAAAGAAACACAGGTAAAATGACTGAAAAAAAAAAAAAAAAAAAAAAAAAAAAAAAAAAAAAAAAAAAAAAAGTGGGCAAACTCAGGCTGCCCAGAGAAGCTGTGGCTGCCCCATCCCTGGAAGTGTCCAAGGCTGGGCTGGACAGGGCTTGGACAAACCCGGGATAGTGGAAAGTGTCCCTGCCCACAGCAGGAGGTGGAATGAGATGATTTTTAACGTCCCTTCCAACCAAAACCAGTCTGTGAGTCTATGAATATAGGTACAAAGATTTTTAAAACAAAGGAAGTGGTCAAACTCACCCATTTGGTGTGAAGGGCAGGCAGGGACACCACAGTGCTCCATCAGCAAGGGGTAAGGGATGTTCATCCACATTTACTCTCAAACACAGAACAGCTCCACTCTCAGCACCTTCACCCTCCACCCAGTCAGTCTTCCAGGGCCCAGCTGTGTCCCTTTCCTGACCAGGAAGAGGATGGAGGGGTCTCCCAGCAGAGCCAAACATCTCAGCCAGCTGGAATGTCAGCGACATCAGCAGGACCTTTCAAGGACTGAGCTAAAAGAAAAACAACAGAGAAAAAAATATCCAAACTTTGTCAGACTAAGCCATTACAAAAGACCATCAAGTTCCTTTGTTGAAGTAAACTGAAATCCAAAAACATTTTTCACAGCCAACCCCAAAGAAAATTTCTTTGGTTTTGGTTTCAGAAGCTTTTCTGCAGCTCTAAAGGCATTGGCCAGCTACATTTCTGAATGAAATGGCTCCTCAAAATGAAAACTTGAGCAATTTTGTTTTAAACTAAGTCAGACAGGACTGGAGCTGTAATCCCATAGGAGTGCTGGATGTGTTTCCTTGGCTCAAAATGACTTGCTGAGTTTTCCCTGAATTTTGTGGATATTTTTGCTTGACCCCACATGGCTCAGGCACAGTGACAAAGCACCTTCAGACTGCAGTCCTTGCAGAGGAGCAGTGACCTGCAGGGATACCCCAGTGCTCCCTATGTCTTCAGAAACCCCCTGTGGAGGTGGGTAGGCACAGTTTGGAATAGGTGTTAGGGCTTTTTGGTGAGTGAGCAGCCTTTCCCACTTCTATTTTAATTCTGAGGGTCACTTCTCTTCATATAACCAGCACAGCCAGGGTGAAGAGATTCCTTCATGCAACATCTCCAGTGTGAGCACTTTGCCCAAAAATCCCACAGGCAAAGGCAGAGGGACAGCACAGCAAATTCATCTGTCATAAATTCCCTCATGGTGTGACAGGCTGGTCAGCACCTGTGTCTTGCTAATGGCAAAGGGATCATCTCTTCCCTTCTTCTTCCCAGGGGCTTTCATTATTACAAACCTTTAAAACACAGACAAAATGGCCAGGAACTAACCCACACATTTTCTCAGCATGAAGCTCCAGACTCACAGGTCAGGCAATGTCCCAAAATCATCTGCTGGAATGCTGTCCCAGACATCCACCTAGAGCAGCCCTACACTCAGCCTCCTCCCGTACCTTCCAGGAGCATCCTCACCCCTCCCCATTGATTTAGAGGATGGCTGGGATATTGTCTGTGGCCCTGGGAGCTGTGGGAAAGGGAAAAGCAGAGCTGGGAGGAGGCAGTGGCCTGGTTTGGGGTGAGGATCTGTGCTCCCCATGTTTGCCCACGGTCAGGGGGCAGTGGAGTTGCCCCCTACCCCTTGCATCTCTTTACCCCTATTTCTAGACAACCCTTCCCACTGGCATGGCGAGGGCCCTTCCATGCAGGGAAGTATTCAGGAATTCCTGCAATTAATTCCCTGTCATCCCCAAGATAGCTCTGCTGTGTGGAGGAGTGCCACAGCCCAGCAATTAGGGGGCAAAGACAGACTGCCAAGGGAGGCACCGAGGTCACACCTGTGCAGCTCCAGAGCCGTGCCGGGAGAAAACCCTGACCAAGCTCCGGAGGGAACGGCAGCTCCTAAGTCAAACCCAAGTAATAAGATGGTCTTGTAGGGGGAAAGATTAATCATTATTGGCAGCAAAGAATGTGCAAGTCTAACAAAAGCTAAAGGGTTTTTTATTACAGTCCAACTGCAGCTGGGAAGACAATGTTAGCTAAGAATCATTAAATCTGTTGAAGAATAAATTTTCTTTGATCCAAACCATAAAATGGGAGTGAAATCCTCTTAAGCCAGCAGCAGCTCCTAATGGAACAGGCATTATAATTTTTTTGCAAACCAATAATAAAAAATAAAAAAGGGTTAGATTATTAAGTGAATAGATTAGACTCCCAAATGGTAAATATTTAGTCAAGCAAAACCTGCCTAATTTAATACCTGCCTCAATTAATTTTTCAGCTTGGGATTATAATTGAAGGGAATAAGGGCATTTTTTGACTGTACAAACAGGGATTCATGAACCCTGTTTTCCCAGAATTCAGGCAGGAGAAGAAGGACCTAGGGAAACTTTCCCTTGCTAACCCCCAGGTAACATCAGTGCTGCTGCACGTGCCAGTGATGAGCTGGCAGCTTTTGCAAGCCTGGAAGATGGAAGGTGAAGCCAAGGTTCCCTCTCACAGATGGTCATTAAATTTCCTGAAACATCTGACCAGGAGGTCACTCCTGATATTATCAAATATAAAAAATATTACAGAAAAATTGAAGCAATTTATTACTGCAGTCTGCTTTAGTCCCTGCTTTCAGGGCAAGCTTGGGGTATTCCTCCCTCAGTGCTTTTCCCTCTCTGCCAGACACAGGAGATGTGGGAAGGGAGTGGAACTCTGAGCTCCAGCATTTACACGGGCTCCGTACACCCAGGTGGGAAAATTTACCTACCCAAACCCTTCTCTGGGGCAGGTGGTTCAAAGAGTGTGTCCTGTGCCCAGGGAGCCTTTTCCACTCCTGACACTCCTCCTCTAAGCTCTGGACAATCTGTCTTTCTTCTTCATGGGCTGTGCTCCCTTCCCACTCTCCAGAGGATATCCTTGGATGCTCAGACCTTTCAGGCCTCTAAAAAGTTGCCTGATCTAGACATGGCCTCTGCACAGTGGAGTTTTACATCAGCCCCACTCAGGTGAGGCCCCACCTGCAGAGCTGCCTCAGCCCTGGGGCCCAGCACAGAGAGGCCGTGGAGCTGCTGGAGAGAGACCAGAGGAGGCCAGGGAGATGCTCTGAGGGTGGAGCCCCTCTGCTCTGGAGCCAGGCTGGGAGAGCTGGGGGTGCTCACCTGGACAGGAGAAGGCTCCAGGGAGAGCTCAGAGCCCCTGCCAGGGCCTGAAGGGGCTCCAGGAGAGCTGGAGAGGGACTGGGGACAAAGGATGGAGGGACAGGACACAGGGAATGGCTCCCACTGCCAGAGGGCAGGGTTAGATGGGAAACTGGGGAGGAATTTCTGGCTGGGAGGGTGGGGAGGCCCTGGAACAGAGTGCCTAGAGCAGCTGTGGCTGCCCCTGCATCCCTGACATTGTCCAAGGTGAGGGTGAATGGAGCTTGGAGCACACTGGGACAGTGGAAGGTGTCCCTGCCTGTGGCAGGGGGTGAGACTGGATGAGCTTTAAGGTCCCTTCCAGCCCAAACCAGGCTGGGATTCTCTGATTCTATGATTTTTACAGCTCATATCCACAAAACACACTGACATGCTCAGTAACAGCCATCCACAACCACTCACTATCCCCATCACTTGCACGACAGTTCTCCTAGAGATGAAGATTACTGGAGCAGCTGCACTACCAAGGGGATACCACCACAAGCTCTATCCTGGAAAGAACCACATGGCCATTGGCTTGCAGCTGGCAGCCAACTCTGCTCCTGGAAGCACACACTGCAATAAGTGGGAATAAGAGAAACATTTGAGTTCAAACCTTCCTGCCTGCAAGCATTTCTGATCCTGGCTTGACCAGCTCAAACTCAGCTCCAGGAGTGTAAACTTCAGTGCATGTCTGAAGTCTTTTGGGGAGGAAGATGAGAAAGCACATGGGTTTATCTGATATAGATCTTGCTCTCACATCAGAGCTCTGTTGCTTTTGTTTTCCAGACAGGAACCTCGCTGGCAAGTGCTGGTGAGTGCTGCAGGCTCATGCAGGCTCTCCACACAAACTCCTGGTGCAGGTCTGGTTATATGTTGTGCACAAGGGTCAGCAGGGACAAAAATGAGAGAGAAATGGATTCAATAATGAAATCTTGAAGTAAAAATGTGGCTGGTCAGATGACAGCAACAGAGAAGGTCAGGAGTACTTTAGACCCAAACAGCTCTTAAATCCAGGTAAGAAATGGGACATCTGTGGCAACAGCAGAATCATCAGAAATAGCAGTTAATCCCAAATTGGGAGCAAGCAAAGTCCAGGGCTTGCCAGGGAACAATATGTCAGCAGGATTATGGGCAAACCTTACAGGGCAGCTGTGATTCTGAAGGCCTGAGAAGGCAATTGTGATCAAAGAGGCACGCAGGCACAAGAGGAAACAGCATGGAACCCAGAATCCTTCTCCTGAAGGCAGATGGAGGTGAGTGACAGCCCAGCAGATCCTTTCCAAATCACCCCCCGGGTCCCAGGAGCAATGGATGGGGACTGCTCACGTGACACTGACTGACACGCTGCAAGATCGTCTGTGGGAAAGGAACAAGAGGGGTAATTTTATTGTCACGTCCCGCAGGGGGGTGTAAGGAAAATCACAGCATGAGAAAATGACAGTGTATCTGTCTGAGGTCATTTGCATGCCCGGATAATCTGTGGGAGGAGAGCCAGAGTTGCTGTGTTTGACAGAGGCAACATCATGACAATAGGCCTGGGAATCGAGGTATTTGCAAGCCCTGAAACCAGCCTGGTGTTTGCTGCTCTCAGAAACCAAAATGACCTGACTTCATCATTTAGGCTTCCATGATTACATTTTCCTCCCTCATTATGGGCTGTATGATGGTCTCATCTTGCTGATGGCAGAGAGGGACAGTCCCACGCACAGAAGTGTGCCCATATCCCAAGGACACACTTAGGGGACACAAAGAGACCATACACAGGCAAAGGAGAACACGAAGGCAGACACTGAGTAGCAGTAGCTGTGGGCAGCCAGTGCAGCCCAGTAGATTTTAGCAGGGATCCAGAGGAAGGAAAAAAGGCTTTGTCAGTGGTTCCAGGTTGCTCCTCTGCTGCAGAGGGGGTAACCTGGGAGAAATGATGGGAACTGGCATGGCTGGCAGGAAAACTCAGCATCTCTGCAGTGGAAAATCCAGCTGATGGTTGGATGGGACAGGGCCAGGAGGACAGGCTGCCTGCAGAATGCACGGGCACTTCACAGGGAGTGTGAGGGAGATGGTGACAGGTTGGGTGAGACTCACTCACACAACCCTTTAACACTGCACTGCCAGAGGCTCCCAGGAAAATCCCAATGATAAGGTGTGTGGAACTCTGCACAGCACTGATAAGTGTGGCAGAAATCTGATTGCTTCGAAAACCTGGGCATTCCAAAGGGATTTCAGCTGGGTGCA